AAATACATTTTGGAATCAACCTTTTTTCTCCATTTATACTATTTCCACTCTAGGCAGAAGCTCCTGGACTTACATGAAATAGCCCAGCTGCTCCTCCCAGCAGCTAGAACGGTTTTTAAACTCTCAAATTATTCCTGACCACCCTTAGAAAAACATTTAAACTCCTGACCAGGACCTTCCAGACTCCCGTGACGCAATCCACGCTAGCTTTTCTTCCTCCCTGGCTCGCCAGGCTCCCACTACCACATCTGCAGTCCTAACGCAAGCCCAGATTGATCCTGCCTCAGGGCTCACACTGTTCCCAATGTGGAGTGTTCCTCTCCCTGTCCTCTTCACAGACTCCACAGACTCCAGCAACACAGCCTGTGCTCACTCTCAGGAACGTTGTCTCACTTTCTTTCCACAGGTTCTTTGTTGTCTACTTATTGTCTTTATTCCCACTGCAGTAAGCCCTAAGGGTGCTGAGGCTCCAGCCATCACGTCCACCACTCTCCCGGTGCCAAAAGTGGTTCCCGCAAGCTAACAGGTGCTCTGTAAACATTTTTGAAAGAAATTAAATAAAAGTATTAATGGAAAGTTATTGGCTAATTGATCTAGTGGCGATTTTATGCCACAACTAGAGTTACGGGTGTTAGAAACCTCAATCTCTGCTCTAAAAAAGTGATTGCACGGTCTCGACATGCCCTGCCAAGTTTACACTGGATCTGTGACTTTTGAGTGACTCATGAAGAGGGCACAACAAATAGCCCAAACTTAACTCCGTCTTGCATTCCCAGCTCCTTAGTGCAGGAAACAGAGCTGAAATGATTAGTCAACCTGTTCCTTCCAGGACTGCACAGGGTGCTTGCGTGAAAAGGAGACAGATTCTGGCCGAGTAGGCTGATTGTGCCTATTTGGATCTGAACACAAATTATCCCGTTTATATGGTCAGCCATGTGTCATATTCTCCTAGAGAACTGTCCATAGGGAATGTCATGACCTGCTTCCAATTTCACATGAAAAACTCCCATATGGACGTTCTCTGTGACTTCCATGGAGTTTATCGTGAGTGACATTGCTAGCACACTTTCAGAAATGTTCATACGCTTGAGATACTAAAGTGAATCTCATCAGAAGGATTAAAGATTAGGTATTATCAATGTAAAGGGAAAATAGTCATTCTTAATCAGGACTGCATTGTGTGAAAAAATGACTTCTTTTCACTGGGTTTTGGTTTAAACAGTTATACTGAAATTGGCTTCAGAAAACTTGTCCCAGGTAACTTATTTACAGTCATGATGTGGAAAAACACAATTTGCCATCAGTACCCTGTTATTTCTATACTGTTCAGATGTCTGTGACCTGAATAAATAAGACCTAGAGGGGGCATAAGATTAGAATTCTGCTAAGATCGGAGGAAGCAGAGGCAGAAACCTCTACTCTGTCCCCTCCCAGGTGAACGTGGTGAGATGCGCACCTGTGTCATAATACTTTCACACACCCCAGATTGGCTGTTCCCAGAGCCTCCAAGTACAAACCCCTATTCAAGGGGATGCACAGATCAGAGCAGTGAGGCTGGCTTCACTAACATGAATCAGGAGGAAAAAAGTTTGTTGTTGTTAAAGCAAATGAGTAACTCAAGAGAGCATATTTCAGAGCCGAATTACCTAAAAGCAGGTATAGTGGAACATGCCTAAGATCCCAGCACTCAGATAGCAAATTTGAGACCAGTCTGGACTATATAGCAAGCCCCAACTAAGCCTGGATTACATAGTGACACTCTGTCTCCAAAAAAATCATCTCCACATTTCCCTTTGTATTTCTAGACACAACTAAATTTTTCATTCTCGTCTCCTCTATTAATGATGCAACTATGAATTAATTTCACTTTACTGGTTGGTTGACAAGGTGTTGGTTGGTTGGTTGGTTGGTTGGTTGGTTGGTTGGCTTTGTTGTTGTTGTTGTTTGTCTTTTTGAAACAAGTTCTCACTATGCAGTTCAGGCTGGCCTTAAGCTCACTGTGTAGCCCAGGCTGTTCTCAAACAACAATCCTCCAGCCTCAGCCTCCTGAGTGCTGGGATTACAGGTGCACACCACCATGCCCTGCTTGACAAGGTTTTCAAAAAATTCTTTTATGTGGGGAAGGAGGAACCGGGAATTCAGTTCACAACCCCATGCTTGCCAAGCGGGTAGTGTGCTAGTGACCTATATCTCTAGGCCTAAAAATTTCTTAAAGAAAAAGCTCAAGGTACTATAAAATATCATCACTCTCAGAAGAAGAAAAACTAGAGATCCCTAGCTTAGTGTAAACTTACCAGTAATCAAAATTACCAGAAAACATCTGAAATTGCTTATTCTTTAAACTTCAAACCCATTGGCCCAGCCTGTGGTCTGAATATCTACATCCTTCATTTGCTTTGGTTCCTCTAACAAATGACATGAGAATGCGATGCACTGTGAGATGAAATTGAGCCTAGGCGTGCCTGCGTGTGCACGTTCTCGTGCACGCAAAGAGGGAGTCCAATTTCCCTGGGTGGCCAAGATGTATGATGCTTAAATTTCCCATCCTCCTATCATCGAGCCTTGCTGGATTAATGGAAGAACACGGCAATTGTTCACTGAGAACAATACAGAATGACCCTGAGAAATCATTGAAAATCCTGTTATCCATTATCACCATCCTACTCTAAAAACTGAAGAAGAAGATCGCAGGAACTAGAGCTACATTCCCACTCAAATCAAAGGAATTATTTCCTCCTCCTCCTCCTCCAAACTCCAAATTCCTCTCCCTATACCAGAATCTATGCCATATTTCTTTATCCTAATCCAAATCAAAGGTACTGAATCCATTTTCTGATGATGATGATTAATAATGAACTAACTCCTCCTAATTCCTATCAGGAAATCTATTCCTTATATTTATTTATTATACACACATTTCTCAAAACACATCCTACAAAACATACATATCTTGCAGTTTTGATGGTTGTTCTATCAAAAATAGAGAAAATGTCAGACAAGGTAGGGCACACCCATAATCCCAGCTCTCAGGAGCCTGAGGCAGGAGAACTTCTGTGAGCTTGAGGCCAACATAGTGAGTAGACTCTGTTTAAAAACAAATAGGGAAAAACTACATGTGGAGGTAGGACAGGCACAAGTTTAAGCCTAGTCTGGGAAATTTAGTGATTTAGTAAGACCCTGTCTAAATCTCAAAAATAAAAAGGAGGTGGGGATAGAGCTCAGTGCAAAGGCTTCCCAAAAAAGTAGGGAGTGTTATTTAGTCAACTAAGATGGGAAAACTAAGCTGTATGAAGTTAATTAAGTAAGTTTCATGGCAGCAAAATTTCTTTTTTGTGTGTACGTGTGCTCCCTCCCCCCCTACTCCCCTCCAGCAGCAAAATTTCTTAAGAAAACATTTTTGTGCATTGTGAAACTCTTAAGAGAAGGTTAAAGCTTGCAACAATTCCCAAAATTGGGAAAGAAATTTACCAGACATTGAAGGCCACTAGTTTATTTCAGAAAAAAAGTCTAGAAAATACTACATTTGGCAAATGTTAAATGAGCACCCTCTCTATGTAGAGTAGCGTCCATGGAAACATATCCTTCCTTTCAGCCTCGGTTATTTTTCATCTATAAACAGATGATAATAGCACCTAACTCAGAGTTGTCATGAGACTGAAATGAACTCGAATACACTCAGTGCACTCTATGTTATAATCCTACAATGCATAAAGACATTTCAGTCCGTGACAAACCACATATATAAGAGCAGTCCCATAAGATTATAATGGAGCTAAAATATTTTATCAACTGGCATTTTTACTATGTCTTTTCTATGTTTATAGATACTTGTAAACATAAATACATTCCATTGCATGACAATTGCCTAAAGTACTTTCACAACAATATTTAGAATTTTATAGCCTAGGAGCAATACAGCCCCTGTTAGAGTGGCCAATACCATCTAGGTTTGTGTAAGTACACGCTGTGATGTTCACACAAAAACAAGACCATCTAATAACACATTTCTCAGAACTCATTCTCATCTTTAAGCAACACCATATGCAAAAATGTTAAGGCAAGAACAAAGAAAGCCAAAACCAATGTTTCCTCCTCTCTGTCCGTGAACACAGCACTAAAAGGGAAATAAAATTGTCTTGAGTTTTACTAGACTGGTACACACCTTCGAATAGGTGTGTGGATTTGGGGCCGGAATTATGGCGTGTGACACCCACACTGTCAGATGCCAACACGGGGGCAATCTCCTACCCCAGTTGGGATTTTCATTTCTTTAACTTGATAAAGCTCGGCCCATCGGGGTCTGCCTGAAGCAGATCTGGGATCAACCTCATGGAGTCACAGGCAAGTGCAGAGACCCAGGCATTCTGCAAAAAGTGGAAGCCCAGTGATTCCAGCCGGCAAACAGCCTGAAGTATTTTCTTAGCCAAGAAGCTAGGGCAAAAGAAATATATCTTTAAGGAAATGCTGCAAATACTGAACAGTACCCTAAGCCCGCTTTTAGTTTATAATCTGCTTTTGCACCACTGCATGGCAAAGTTGATTCAAATAAATATTTAAACAAAATCTAAATTGCACAAAGCATCACAAAAGTATTTAGGCCAGTTGTGACTAAAAAGTCATCAGTGATACTTTAGCGCCCTCTGCTGCTGAAAAAATTTTCCAACAGCTTAGATTTTTTCAGTACATAGGGCTTTCTTTTTTCTCTTTCCGAGTATCGTGGTTTTTCGTTTTGAATCAGGTTTTTGCACATAAGTTAATAAATTATAAGTATAATGGTAATCATAATATACACAATTATGCATGATGTATAGAATAGTGAAAATATCACTTCAAAGAGATTTTCTATATTGTACTGCTCTTTAAATTGCAATATCTCATAAAAGGCAATTTAATGTTGGTATAGGTAAATAATTCATGTAGGTTTAGGGGCACATCATATAGGTTCCATTTTTAATTATATTTATAATTTATTCTTCATTTTACATATTCTATATTTTTCCCAAGGGAAAGTGAGTGCAGTCCCTCACTACCACAAATTATGCAGCCAAGTTTCCCACATTTGGGGAAATCGCAGAGGTCAGCACATCTGGAGCGCAATGGATAAGCCTCGCCCTGGGAAAACCACCTCGTGATCATGGCATCTCCGCTGCCAGGTAGCAGATTTCTATTTCATGGGGTTGCTAGATTTAGAACTTATAAACATACATCCTATGTACTTGCATGATACCTACTTGTATTAAATACTACTTATGCTAAAAAAAAAAAAAACTAAACTGTTGTGTTAAATATATTCATTATTTATTTGAAATTCAACTTTAATAATGTTGCCATATTTTTTCTTTTTACATTTGTAATATTTTGGTGCCGAGGACGAAACCCAGGGCCTCTTACTTGCCAGACTCTGTTGTACTACTGAGTTACACCCACAGCCCCAGTTTGCCATAGTTTATCCTGTGACCTTGCCTGTTTTCATATATGCTCTGAATTCCATAATAGAAATTTTTTTTCTTGTGGTATTAAAGGTAGTTATTTTACCATAACAAAAAATAAAAGTAAATGTCTGTTGTTTTATTTCTTTCCTTATAGGTTTTAACATATCAAAGCTTAAAGTAAAAAACTAAACCAGGGTGATAAGCATGAGTTTAAGAACCATTTGTTCAGGGGCTGGGGATTTAGTTCAGCAGCATAAGCACCTGCCTTGCAAGCAGGTGATAGTGAGTTCAATCCCTGGTACCGATAAAAATGAAAAAAAAGAGACCAAAAAAAAAATTTGTTCTCAAAAGAAAAGTTATTTAATTAATGGAAGGATGTTCCTTTATGCAACAAATATATATATATATATATATATATAAAACCATATTTTAAAGGTTATGTTTTGTTTTGTTTTGTTTTAAAAATGATAAATTTCATTTTCTTGACAAATATGCATACTGATTTTTTAAAATGAATGTAATCATTATGTATTATAAAATATAATAAAATTATATAATATAATAAAAATTTAAAGAACTTGAAAGAATTTAAAGAACTTGAAGAAAATTTAAAGAATTTGAAAGGAAGAGTACCCTGAAGCAACATTATTCTGAAATAATAAATCTCAAACCTGCACTCCTGAACACATGTAGAAGTCTTAAAACTCTAGGATTCTTGGGCCCACCTTCAATTAAATTTAAATCCCTATGAATTCCTTGGAGTCCAAGGAACCTTCTACTTAAAAATGAGCCCAAGTGGATTTTAATATGCAGCCCAGTGGAGAAACCACTCTCTTAAATCTGTCAAGCCCCTTCAGCGAATGCACCTTGACCTTGTGTGTGTGAATCAACACAAGATGAGCATTTCCAACTAGCTACCAATTGATGCTGATGCTGGTGGACAAGGACCCCACTTGCAGAGCACAACTTTAGTAAGATCAAAGAAGAAAAAAACATTTGTTTTAATACAGAATCATAGGGCTGGGGCTTTAGCTCAGCGGCATAAGTGCCTGCCCTGCAAGCAGGCAGTTGTGAGTTCGATCCCCGGTACCAGGAAAAAGACCAAAAAAAAAAAATACAGAATCGCATAATTTTGTGGAAAACTGAAAATACAAATTACTGATATCCACATTACTGCCATAGCTTAATTATAACTGCTGTAGAGTCTAAGAGCAGGAATGGGACCAAAAGAAAACCTTAGGAATTTCACAATGGGGTCTGGGGAGTGCACTCAGTGATAAAGTGGTTATCTAGCATGGGTGAAGTCTAGATTCAGTGCCCAGGTATGGGGGGTGTCTTTTTGCAGTACATCTGCTGTATTAGCCTCAGTTATGTTACTGTTTTCTGTCACAGTGTCTCTCACTAGCAAAAGAGAGCTAGTATTTGCTCCCTGACACTTTTTCAGAAACAGTATGAGAATATGCATTAGAGCATTTTCTATGCAGTAGCTCAAATATGCAGTAATTTAAGCTATACAAGTTTAGATCATATTAGAATTTAGTTGATAGACCATTCCCATCAGACCTTTTTTAACCACTTTGGTCTGTTGGAGCTTTGAGCAGCAGTATGCAGATTGTGCAGCCATGTGAAGCTGATCAAATCAACCCTCGAGAGGGTAATTGGTAAATCTCCTCATGTGATTTTGAAAAATTAATCAAGACAGGTTTAGTGAACCTTTGCTGAGAGAGTTTCTTTAGGACAAGTGACTTCATTCCCAATATATTGTCATAAAGGAAAACGCCAACTTTAAATCCCAAGGTGACCCATTTATCTCGCTTGGTTAGAGAATAAAGACTTCTTAAGCACTGCAAATAATTCTGCTGGTTTAAAATCAATTTGATTAATACAATTAAATGGAACTATTTGATCTTTCAGTTTCAAAAACCGCAATTTGATTCACATATTAACATTTTAATATGGAAACAGCCACCATAATTCTTCAAGCGCCTTCTAACAATATCTTCTAGGGACATTTTATAAGAAAGCAACGTATATCGTGTTCTCTTTAACTTTTAGTAATTAGTCACGAGAATTGGTACTAAAATATTCTCATTTTCCAGCACTCATATTTTGCCTCAAAGCTAAGGCCTTTACAGGGCCTTCTGCATGAATCCATCAGATAATCTGGAGTTACAAGCTGCACCATGCTCCACCGGTAAGTGGGTCTCCCCATCCTATCACCTTCAAAGCTGCCTCCTTGAAGCACAGAGCCATGCTCAAAGTTAAAGGTCTATTTTTAGTTCTCATCTTAACAAATCACTCAGCGGCATTTAACACTAGGAACCACTCCCTATCTTCTTGGAACTCTTCCTTGCTTTTTTTATTGAATATTATTACTTCTTTTATTAACCATTTTTTCCAGCTCTTTCTCTGACAGAACTTTACATGCCAAACCTCCCATTTCTGATTCTTGATCTTCTTCCTTGTCTATTCATCATCTCTTCATTCTTATGCTTCAGCTATCAACCACAAAGTGCTAGCTCTATCTATAATTTCAGGCCTACTTCTCCTCAATCCATCCAATAAAGGAGCTACTAGCCACCTGTGGCCTGAAGATTAATTAAAATTAAATGAAATTTTAAATTTCATTCCTCAGTCAGATGTCACCCCATTCCAATACTCAGTACTAAGGATTTGGTTGATTTGGTTGGCTCGTAAGAGTTCAGTGACTGAGGGCTTGGTCTGCACCTCTGAGGTAAATGAAGTAGTGAAACCATTGGAAGGTGGAGCTTAACGGGAAGTCCTTACACCCCTGGGCCCGTGAGATAACTCTCCTACAGCTCATTGGCAGTTCTCGTGTAAGAGTTGTTATGAAAGGAGCAACTCTAGACCCTGCCACCTTCTCCGCTTCATGCCTCCAGATAGGAATCCTTCCTCCAACACATGTTCCTGCCTTGATGTGATACACTGTCCTCTACAGAGGCCCAGTCACTGGTGTCCCACACACGCACACCATCACTTGATCTTGGACTTTGAATCTCCAAAACTATTAGTTAATAAGTCTCTGCTTCTTAATAAGTAGCATGTGTTGTTTATTTCATTATAGGCACAAAGCAGATTAATCTACTCAACCACACATGGCTAATGCATACACTATTGAATAGTTCAACTAAAGAACTTCCCTCATGACAAAAGTCCTATTGGACAGCACTATCCAGATGACAATAGCTGACACTCATATAGCATTTACTATGCTGCAGGCACTGATATATTTTTTCTCTATATGTTCTCTCTGTATCCTCATCACTCTGTAAGACTGAGCCATTACTCAAATGTTGGGAAAACTAGGCAGACTAACCCTCCCTTGAATAATAATTATAAAATTTCAACATATATATAGTTGTTTGGAGGCACAGGAGAGTTGTCCAAAGCAGGCAGAAACTGGAAGAGTCTTGAAAAACGTGAACTGCATCTAGAAGGATCTGAGAGTTCGCCATTTTTGTTTGAGGCTTTCTTCCTGGGTAAGCTAACGGAAGAGAAGCTGGGGCTGGAAAAGTAAACTCCACTGCTGGAGGGAAATCCCCAAATGAAGGAGAAGCTAACAGGGGAAACACCACAATAAACTGTGCCCAGTCCTGGGGTACCTGCTGAGCTACTGCACTCACCGCTCTCCAGGAAGTAGGTGAAAAATAGCGAATGGGAGCTGAAGTAAGTGAGCCAGAGTTCAACTGCTGCTCAATCCAGAGGAGACCAGATTCGCAGTGCTGATAAACTAGTTGTCTCCTAAACAAAAATTTAAAACCCTCAGAATAGAACTTGGTATCTCTAAATCCAAAACATGATTCATAATGTCCATTTATTAAATATACTTAAAAATGACTCGACACTCAAAGATACAATAAATATAATCTATGCTCATGAGAACATACATTTAAACAGAAGCTAATTTCAATGTGACTTATGGGGCTACGAATATAGACAGTAAAACTAGATTTGGAGACTTAAAAATATGCCAGTAGTGAATAAAGAAATGCAAGTTCTCAGTAGAAATTTTAAAACTGTAAAACAGAACTGTGAGTTTGATCCCCAGCACCACGGGAAGGAAAGGAGAGAGGGAGAAAGGGGGGAAGGGAGGGAGCCCAAACTTGGAAAGTGTAAGAAGTGAGAAGAAAAGCTCATTGTATGGGCTTCATAAAAGTTTGGAGTGGGTGAAAAAGTCAGTAGCTTGAAATCAGCACTATAGAAATTCTCCAATTTGAAGAACAGAGCGAAAATATTAAAGTTGAATGGTTCTACAAAGACCTATGAGATGATACGAAGGAGTCCATATACAGATACATAAAATTTGAATTCCAGAAGAAGGAAGAGAAAGTGGTGGGGGAGAGAAGTGATGAAGAAATTTCCTAAATTTGTTGGTAGATAACAAATTCATAGTTCCAAGAAGCTTGAGAAAGTACAAGCACAATAATTTAAAAGTTGTTTTTAAATTGAGAGGCTAGACATCACAAACAACTTAAATAGAAACCTTGAAAGAAACCAGCTGGGTGAAACAGCATATCACATACAGGAAAATAATTTTTAGTCTTGGCTGACTTCTTCTCAGAAACCATGAAGGCCAAAAAGTATGGGAGGGGGGAGCAATGGAATGATATTAATAATGTCTTCAAAGGAAAAAAATAACCTGCCAGGGCGGGATTCTGCATACAGTGAGGTGGCCATTCAAACTTAAAGGCATGAATGGAGTCTAGA